AAAAATCCATATAGCTAAAGACATGCATGTACAGCATAGGGCAGGTAAAGCAGTCCCATAAGAGTGACATTTCATGTCTGGGAGTTTTATTAATGTTACTATTTTTGTGACTTTTATGCAGATACCTTACTTCATCGAAGGATTAAATATCACCGAAGTAGTGCTTGGTAACCAAATGCCAGTTATTCGGAAGGCATCCAAGCCTTTCTTTGATGAAAATGGATTTTGGATAGACCTGGCTCTGAATTATGGAGGCGGTTTTCGGATGACAATTGAAACAAAAGCTAATTTAATGAAACTGAAAGATTCGGTTGCTGCAAAGGAGAAAGAAGAAAAAGTCAAAACCAAAAAGTAAATTTTTTGTAACAATGATTTGGTGAACCAATAAAAACCTCTGTTGCACTCCTTAATAGTATATCCATTACAAGGTTGTCCCTGAGACTCAGGGGCCGGGATATTTCCCCACCTATAATGATGTGATCCCTTCGTTATATTGGTATTCCTCCTAAACTCGCAATTTAGAAGGGAAACCCCCAATCTATTTAAAATTAGAAGTTAGATCCGCTCGTATACTTGTTACTGTACACAAACATCTAACAACACCCCATAGAGGGTCACGTCAGAGTTCAAATTCGGACCTTTATAGACTTATTCGCTTCAACAATATATGACGATTTTGCAAGCGACAATTTGATTGGTTGGTAGAGTTTGAACTCTGACGTGACCCTCTATGGGATATTGTTAGATGTTAGTGTAGCGAGTATACAAGCAGATCTTATATTTAATTTTTTTTTAATTAGATTGGGAAACCCCAGATCCCCTTCTACTTCCCAAATATCCCCTATTTCAATTCTTAGGGACAGCCCTGTTCATGTATCGTAAAATATGTAGCTTAAAATACATGTACAGATAAGCATGAACTTGTTTCAGTATATCTAAGGTGATGAAAACAGTTGCTAGATGATTAAAAATAGTGTTTCAATTAATAAATAACTTAATCTGTGGGACTAATTGCATTCATACCTAGAAATAATTTGTAGGTAATGAACTGAGATTTATTAGTAGCACATAGAGAATCTGAGGTTTAGGAAAAATCAATATGAACACTGCAGGCAATCTTGGTTGACTGATCTATCATCCCTGCGGGGGAAATTACAAAATCTGTTCTGATTTTAGATTAGCCATCACTGATGAGGAAGCTGAAGACAGCGCAGAATCATCGACGGACGAGGAAGAAGAAAGCGTAGGAGAGGAAGAGGGGTGGGTTATCATCAGAGGATGTTTATCTTCACATTTATCAAAAATTCGGAGAAATCAGACATAGAAATTGTTTACTGTAAATAGGGTGTCATATTCACGTATCTCCTTTTATAAAATTAAACAGAAGCTGAAAACACAATGTCAGTGGGTGTGCACATAAGAGTTACTCTTAGTTTTACCAAGTATGCTGGATCCTTACACCAAAATCACTTGTGTATTTCAAAAAATTATTTCTAAAACTTGTGAATTTTAAAAAACAAAGAGACATAGACTGAATTTAATGGTTTCCAAAATGTATAAAAATGAAATCTGTATTCCCTGTTTTATAGCCAAAAGCTATGTCTGCTGAGGTATGAATTTAAAGAACATGAAGTTAATTGTTAGGAAAAATATATTGAAAAACTTTGAAATTTGGTTTTCTTTAAAAAGAAATTATACAAAAGAAATCTATGGACATGATATTCATTTGAATGGAAAATTACATATTCATGATACAGATAATGCATTCTCATCCGCTAATGGTGAATACTCTACCAATATTGAATTATTTCATACAAAATCATGTCAGGATGACTTTTTGACACTGTCTGAGATTACAGTAAACTGATTAGTAATGTAACTAATCTACATTGCTTTTATGAGAGAAAAGTCGAAAGTGATTTGTAAGTTTGAATGACTACCGGTATTCATGGATGCCGAACAAGTGTATATCATTTCTTGTGTGATATCTTTCAGCTGTCGAATTCTGTTAAAGCAGAAATATTTGTTGAAAATTTTGTAAACAATTATCTACTAAATCTAATCCATCTCCATGAAGCAATGATTATAGATCACAAAAACAACAAAGAATTATCTCTGTGAAAATTTCTGCGTCCATATCATAATTCTTTAACAATGATCTTTCTTTCTTCAGAGGTGGTGGGAAGGCAGGTCAAAAGTTCATGCGATACCTGGATAAGTTAACTCAATCAAAATATGTCCAGTCAGCCATGGACTGGAAATATGTCAAGAAAGCAATGGAGGAGGTGTCCAACACTCCCATAATCCTCACGGTGGAGGCCCACTACCTGTCTGGAGAACTGGCCCTGAACATTCCATTCCCACCTACAGACAGACTTTGGTAAACCTATTAAATTTCTAGGTTAGGGTAACACCAAAACATGAGAACGAAATTCTTCAAAAAAAATTTTTAAATCATCTGATAGAAAATAAGGCTAAATAATGTTAACTCAGGTGAGCCTTATATAACCCATAGACCTCTTGTTTTGAATTGTTGTTTGACTTAGAGCAAGTTTCTCATTTTAATATTTGAACTTCATAAAGAATCCGTCCTTCATTGAGTTTTAAGAATTTCCACCAAACAATGATGTAGTTTAAAAACACTTTAAAAGTGAGAAATACTTGTTAATAACTTAATTTTTTCTTCTAAAAGGTATGGATTTAAAGGAAATCCTAAATTAACCTTAGTAGCAAAACCCAAAGTTGGTGCTAGACAAGTCACAGTAACTCACATCACAGACTGGATTGAGAAAAAACTTTCAGCAGAATTCCAGGTAAGTCTATCAAGAGCTACAAAAAACCCGGAGAACATGATACTGTATTCGGGATTAATTTTACGGCTTATTTACTTTCATTTTTTTCTGACACGTGTTTAGTTAGTAACAACAGTTCCCTCCTTAATTTACTTACATTATTACATTGTTTAGCTAAAAATAACAACTGCTGTATTTACACCAAATGGCTGTGCATGTATATCTACCGATACTTGTTGCTTTGACTTGTATTTAAAAAAAAAAGAGAAATTTGTTAACATTCACTATTTTTCAAATTCACATATTTGTTAACATGATTGTTAAGGATATATTACATTGTGACAATATTTAATTTTTGCAAATATCATGCGTCATCAATTAAGTATGCATTATTTTGACTTTTCCAGAGAACCTTTGTGCTACCTAACATGGATGACCTAATAGTCCCTCTGTTTAAAGTGTACAATCCCAAGTCAGAAGATAAACATAATGTTTGACTGATCTAAAACCTGACAAAGTGTACTTACTTCATCATTGCTGCATGGAACTTCAACTTGTTTTACATGAGGCTTTAGCATTGGGATGTTGTTTGTAATGTAAAGAGGAGGCGGGGTATCGATAAGGATGTAAATTTTTTTGGTCAGCTTTTTTTCTGATCTTGCAATTTAAAATACAAGAAGTCATTCCAAAAACAAAGAATGCATTTCAAAACATAGTTTTACAGCAACAAAGAAGCTTGGTATTGTTGAATCTAGAAAACTTAAACTTGTGGCTTTTCAGCAAGAAATATATGTTCATGACAATGATTAAGAGCCTGTGATTTGGGATTTGAGACTCCTGACAGTTTGCTTCCCAAATACTGTTGCCTACCTCTTGTTCTGCTTGAGTGATCTTCCCAAATGTTGTTGTCTACCACTTGTTCTGCTTGGATGATCTTCCATATTTAAAACTGCAATAATACTTTACTAAAAATATTGAAGAAATATTGGCAAGTTAGTTGACAGGGAAATGTACAAGAAAACTTATTATACTATTATAACTTATTACAGTGTATATGGTAAATGTGTTAATTTTCAGGCTTTTCTAGTACATGTACATTTGTACTGTTGGTAGACAAAATACAAAGAAATCCAATATTAGATTTTGTGAAATGATAAATATACCTGTATTTTATCTTTTCCTCCCTTAATTTTCACAATGCAATAATTGTACCTGTAAAGTTGAACCTCTGTATATTAGTCATTGATAGAAGAAGGGATCCCACAAGTATATTACTGGTAATCTGTTACTTAAATCTAATCAAGCTAATGAGGTTTGACTGTACATGTTTAGAGAGGCATATAAGTAAAGTACTTTAACCACTTTTTATAGACATGCTATGCTTGCATCCCCACCCAATATATTTTTGATATTGTTATATATATACATTTGCTTTGAACTTGCTGGTAGTAAAGACCAATCATAATAGTGATACTTGATTATAAGCACTTAAAAAATACCTATAAATGAATACTGCTGAGTAGAAATACAACTGAAATACTTTTTATGGATATGAAGTCATTGGATGTTCCATGTAGACAATTTTACACCCTTTGAACTTGTACATCCTCAAATTCAGAATGTTATTTTACACTATGTTTTTTTGTTTGTTTTTTTTTTTTTTGCAAATATACATCTGCTACGCATAATGAGTAATATTCCCAGGTTGATTCTCAAAGATAACAGTCATAGAAAATAACGCTGGTGAAAGACAAATTTAAGAAGTGCAAGATGAAAGGTTTAGTTTCAATTAGATTACAGTGAAAACTGTCTAATCCGTCTTTTGAATAATCTGAAACACTGTGAATTTCGACATTAAATTTCTTTCCCATTTTAGTATTTTTCTTGTTTTTAACACTGTGCAATCCAACACCCTGTCTATTCCGACACAAAATTTATCTCCCAGTGCATGTCAGATTAGACAGGTTTCACTGTATTTACAGAAATACATGTAAATTGATAGCATAGAAGCATAGGCATGGTCTTTGTTGCCTCTTTACTGAGAGGAGGCCAGGTTATAGAAGTCAGAGTGTACTGTATTTAGTTAACATGATATTTAATGATACTATTGGCAATTCATTTGATATTATTGGGCCCTTGGGTATTACAGGGACTTACAGACTTGCTCAGTAGATCTTTTTAAGTAATAAGATAGTACAGCAAATTTTTCTAATGCCTTGAAATTCTCTATCTTTTTTCATGCAGTTTTCTTGCAGTTTTCTCCAATAGTATTGCTGTATAAAACCACATGTAAAAATGTTTTAGCTCTATTCGATTCAAAATAGGTAAATAAGTAATAGAAATTTGAAAATAAAATTTTTTCCGCAAAAATATCTCAGATGAGCAGAAATTTAACCATAGGTGATACTGAGGTCATGAAGTAAATTCCCTTCCCCGATTAAATTGTAACCATATTTGGAGTGAAGGAGTGGGTTGAAAAAGGGGAAGAACTGTCTTATTATTACAAATATTACTCTTTACTTCAGAAGCAATTGGATACATTTTGTGACCAATATTTGTATAATTAGCTTGAATTTGTTTGATCACAACTGCTGGTGCATAAATATCAATGTATCAATGCAAGATTATTTGGTGTGCTTGATGTTTGAAGCATTGCAGAAGCAAAACTTGCCAAAATGTGAATTGAGTTTATGTCTATTATTTGACAACAGTGTGTTTGGAACACATTTCTTAATAGCATATACTTTTTTCTCTTCAATAAGTTGCATTTTTATATCTGACATTTTTTTTTCATTATTTGTTATTTTAAAGAGTTGAATAAGGGTATATTTATCTCTTGATTTCTTATGTAAATGTGTTATAATAGGTGTATCTATTTCATTTTTTCAACAAATGTCTCATTTTCTTGCAATAGAGTACATGTAGATGTAGTAACCTGGTTTGCTAGTTTTGTTTGTTTTTGAAATTGTTAATTTATCTTTTATGTCATGATCAATGCTCTAGTGTGAGATGGAAGCCAATGGTGCCATATGTTTATGTATACTCTTGTTGCTAATAAAACAATTAAGACATAATTACTTGGTCATTATGTTTTCTACCTATTATATCTGACTGACAGATGAATATACATGTACATGTAAATGAAAGGAAGCTTCGCTGCATCAGGAAATGAGGCTTACAAAGTGAGCCAGTAATTCATTACAATGTGAAACCTAATATGGGAATTGATACATCATTACATGTTGTATTAAATTGAAAAAGATGCAACACTTTGTTGGATTTTCATAATAATCATACCAGCTATTTCATGATTCTAATTGTGGGCTGTTCTTTCATGATCTGTCCTTATATTTTAAAATGGACTCGACAGGCACTAGACTAGTTTATGACACATTTGTAATGGATAACAGTATACTAATAAACATTATTAAAATAATGGGCCAAGATGTTATATAGTCAAACGACACATTCTTAATTAAAAAATATATAACTTTTCCTAAGAATTTGTCCTTGATGTATAGGTTACTTAACTTAACAAGTTTCCTCACAAAAAATTAGGGTACCTTACCAGGCATTTGGCCAAGGTACTGTACCATAGGGTCATATTTCTTATGGGTAATCTTCTGAATGGTCTATAGGCCTATCTATGATAATGTACTTACTATTTAAAAACATTTTTGAAAACAACGTAAAAATCAGAAAAGAATGACAAATATGAATAATTTTTCATATAATACCAAGAAATACAAAACATTTATTTGGGGAGTGTGCCGTTTGACCAAAAGTACTTTGTTTTCATCATTGACAAGTATACAACTGATGGAAGAAAACAACAGAGAAAGAAAGGAGTGCTTCTAACCAAATAAATTGATCTGACACTGAAACTCTTTTGTTATTGAACATCTCCAGCAGTCACCTTAGCCATTTAACACCCTTAGTATGTACAAAGTATTCTCGATGGACCAAATGTTATACACGTAATTCCATCCCCACAGAAGCGAGGATGTGCCAGAAATATGGGCCCCTGTAGTTGTGCGGAAGGGGCCCAGTAGTTGTGCGATAAAGGCATACGGTGCTGTGTAATGGTGCTTTCAATTTTTTTCTTAATAGTTATAGAAGTATTTATATTGATGTACCAATTATTTCAAATTATTTTGGTTTTGATGCATTATTTGGATTCAATATGAGAAGAAATACAATATTTAAAATTTCTAGTTTTAATTTTGTATCATTTGCAAAAGCAAAACTAGATATATTTTATTTATACATTGATTTTTAGTACAAAACAAGGGAGGTAATACGTATATGATAACAAAGATTGTCTCAAGTCCCGGTGATTTTGAATACAAATAGTGCAAAAGTATTTGTGAGATGCAGTTTCATTTCACTCATTCTAATCTAATGGATATTAATTCGACATAACATTTTTCGAACGGTATTAAAGACAGACAATATACCAGTCCAAAGATTCGACAAGATTAACACTAGCAAAATCTTGTATTTATTCTCATATTTTGCTAAGATTGTCTCAAGTCCGTGTTCAAAATTGTATACATGAAAATGTTTTTAAGGAATATATTTTACATATTTAGCAATTCGGAAGACAGTTTTCAGGGTATGACCACAATACTTTTTAGCTGCAGTTTAGTAGACCTGGAGCAGGACAGCCACATCACCTTTCATCCCCCCCCCTCTCTATAACTGAATGAGCTGTTTTTAATTTGATCATTTTTCATTCTCCTTTTGACTTCGATTGCATACTTTTAATTTTGTAAATAACAATATATATGTTTAATTGTAAAAAAAGAACAAAAACTCGATTAAAAGTAAATTACGATTAATCTAAAAAAAAATAAATTATACGGTAGTGGGGTATAGACATTGAACATATCTTCGTAGGTTTAGCCCCCCCCCCCCCCACTTTCTACAGATACGTCTTAGTATAGGTAAAAATCGGAGGTAAATGGTGGTGTTTGGAAAAAAAAATTGGTACTGAAGTTCGAACCTACACCCCCCCCCCTCCCCCAGAAAATAGGATTTTTGTGATTGGGTAATGGAAATTTCCTTTTTTTTTTTTTTTTTTTTTTTTTTGCTTGTTTGGTTTTTTTGAAGGTACTTAATTTTTTTTTTTACATTTAGCCCCCCCCCCCCCCCACTTTAAATTTGCTTCCGACGCCAGTGTGTTTAATTGAAAAAAGAACAAAAACTCGATTAAAAGTAAATTACGATTAATCTAAAAATTATTATCTTCAATGAAATAAAATTGTCTGACATTTTTCTTTTTTTAAAACCACTGGAAACACATCCTTTTCACCAATTCTTTTGCTTTGTCTGCCAGTACCTGGAACGAAATATATTCTTCTATAAATAAAAACAATAAATATTAATGTAGGCTAAATCAAGTAACATTTACATTAATATAGTATTGAATTACATTCTCTGTATACCTTTAGTCTACTTAATTTAGCAGAGTTCTTCTCTCTCCAGTTTCATCTGTGTTTTCTTCTTTTTTCATCACACTCTAAATAGAAAAGCTATTAACAATTTGAATTCCACTTTATAGACGAGCTATCAGTCTGGATGCTCCCAAAGTAAGAATTTAATTGTTACTTTATTATACCCCCCGCTTGAAAAGCGGGAGGGTATATAGTAATCGTTAATTCCGTCCGTCTGTCCGTCCGTCCGTCTGTACGTCCGTCCGTCCGTCCGTCCGTCTGTCCGTCCGTCTGTTACGCTTTGGGGTACCCATCTCTTATCCGCAACTCCTCTTATACCACTGAATGAAATTTGATGAAACTTTCACAGAATCTTTATTACATATTGCCATTGTGCACCTCCTATTTTACTTTTTGATCCGACACATATTTTGGGTTTCCCATAGCAAAACATGGACACTGCCATTTATACACATATGGGAAGCGGGGGGTATCATATAGTGAGCTCATTGCTCACAGTACCTCTAGTTTAACATAACTATAATTTGTTAAGAAGTTTACAATCACGGATAAAACATAAATGAAACTGACTGTCTACATCAGCTATAGCAATTTCAACTGTAAAAAGGTATTTAATAATCTATAACTCTCTGCTTTTCTTTTTTTGTATACTTTGTACATTTGATTGTTTGGGTCTAATTTCTTACCATACGTATCTCATGGTTTATCTTTAGGATTTTCTGAGGATCTCGCTTTGTCTGTTTTCTCTGCTTAGCATCGAAGATATTATGTATTAATTAAAACAAATGGTACATAATTCTAATTAAACAGCGGATTGTTTTTTTTTATGTGTTAATCACAATTAAACAGCGGATTGTTTTTAAAAAGTATGTGTTTATAACCATATTCTAACTGCTTACCAACAATTCAATATTATAATAAAAGACCAAGATGTTATCTTAGTACTTTTTTGATTTCATAATTGACAAGTATACTACTCATGGAAGAATATTAAGACAGCAGAGAAAGAAACTAGTGATCCTAAAAAAATTGATCACTGAAACTTTCTTGTGACATCTCCTGGATGAAATATTGCAGTCACCCTATCCAATTAACACCCTAAGGAACAATATTTTCAATGTATAAGACCACATACTATTCTTCTAATTTGTGAACGTAATACCACCCCCACTGAAGCGAGGATGTGCCAGAAATATGGGCCCCTGTAGATGTGCAGGTAGGGGCCCAGATGTGCATATTTTAGAAATGTTGACGTAATGGTGCCTTCAATCTTTTTCTCAATAGTTATAAAAGTATTTATATTAATGTACCAATTATTTCAAATCATTTTGGTTTTGAACTATTATTTGGAATCAATATAAGAATAAATTTAATATTTAAAAGTTCTAGTTTAAATTTTTCATCATTTGCATATGCAAAAATAGATATATCTAATTTATATATTGATCTTTGGTATAAAACAAGGGAGGTAATGCCTATATGATCACAAATTGTCCGTCTTAACCGCTCGAAATATGTTATGTCGTTTCACAAATACTGCACATACTAGTATTCAAAATTGTACATAAACAGTTAAATATTTTTACAGAATTTCTTTTACATATAAGTTAAGCAATTCGGAGGACAGTTTCCAGAATATGACCACAATAAGCTGCAATTTAGTAGGCTGGCTCCAAGGACCATAAAATGAGAAAAGACTTAAGTCAAAATATACATTTTGAATATTTAAGGGGGCTCTTTACACCTATAAAGTATAACTGATTTTTGTTGCGTGCATTTGTTTCTAATAATAGGCCCCATATCCGATAAAATAAGGTTCCAAAGTACTTCAATTTATTTTTTAGAAATATTTGAAATATTTTATTTATTTTGTTAAAATCCCTCCTATCTATATTTTTAAAAGCCCAGTGCTTTAAATTTCTTTTCAAAGTTTAGTGTAATAAAATATTGAAATAATAACCAACAAAGATAAAAATAAAATCAACATAATTTTTATTTAAAATTACAAAAATAGACAAAAGAAAAACTAAAACAGCATTTTCTTGAGAATAGCTGGTTGGATCCTCTTCAATATCTGAAAAGATATATGATATCAAAGGGTAAAAACAATGAAAAAAAGAAATTGAAAAAAATTGAAAAACTGTCAAAAATTTATAAACATCACAAAAATTCAGGTGTGAGAGATCCGCTTTAAGAGTGGACTCAAATATCTTGGTACTGTTTTTTTTTATATGAACTTCAAATTAACTTTACTTGCACAAGTATTAAACAAATGTCACGCAAGGACATTGAAAGAAGTTCGTATTGTACATGTATTGTTTTTCAATGAGTTTAAGCGAAAATCATCGCGTTTCCAGTCAACGACAAAGACATGTATTTAGTGAATTCATGGTATTGAGAAAGGTAGATTTACTTACCGTTTTTATCCAACTTGCATGTGTTATCCAGTGCTACATATAACAAAACAAGTTAAGATGGTAAATGGCCAAAAGCGGTAAAAGAAATTCCTATAACCAAATGCACACTTCGTCTAAAACCTGCACGTTTCCCACACTTGTAAACAGCTGACAATCAATAGTGATCAAACGTTTCGAGGGTCATGCGAAATTTCACCGGGTATAACCATTCATTCGGGTGTATACAAATCGAGAACAGAGTATCCTCTAGTCGGTGGGAAGATAATACATATGTCTTATCTTATCAAATTTGCAGTTTTGGGGGGATATATTTTGCTAAAAAGCATATATGCTTATTGGAGAAATAAATTTCTGAGTGTATGGCGTTTTGACACGTTATGATGAATTAGCATATGGACAAACCATGTTTTATATCATTTTTCTCATCTAAAAATCTTATTCTAATAAGTTTGTAAATGTATTATTTAATAATTAAATAAGTAGAAATTGAATAAATTGACAAACAATTCATTTTTAAAGAAAGGATACGTATTGGACAATACACTGTATTAATTGATGTGATATGATGTACATTCCATCCACAATATTGCATGTTGTGTTATACTCAGTGATTTATCGGTGTAAAGTGAATTTGAATCTGATCATTTGGGATCAAAATGGCGTTTTTACGGAAGTACGCCATGTTGTGACGTTGTAGAGAGCCCCCTTAAGTCTTTCCACCTTTCTGTGGAAAGACTTCTTGAAATGCTTATGTTTATTATTATTTTTCCGTTATCGACTTTTGAACCGAAAGACTTATCGAAAAACTTTTTGCTTCATGACACTGGAAAACAAAAGTTATTTCGAAAAACTACCCAAGGCGCATGACCTATGACCCCTTTCAGAGTTACGACCCCTTTCGCAATAAAAGCTTGTTATCGCTACTCCTCCGAAACCGTAAACCGTAGAGATACAAAACCTTCAACAATGTCTACGACTACTTTAGGAGACTCTTGAATCTATTCATTGCGAAAGGATTCGTAAACCCCTACAATGAATTATTGCCCCTGAATGTTTGCGATGTTTACGATTATCAAGATCTTTTCTTAAACGACAAGGCGTAGAGACATGGGGCCAACTGCAAACGATTCTTTGACCTTTGACCTTGAAATTTAGGTCAAGGTCAAAGGTCAAGGTCATTTAAAATATGTAAAATTAAGCATTTTTTATAGCTCTTTTGTTCTTCACCAAATTTTAAATATCTTTGCACCTTCAATATGTACTCTTAAAACACTTTCAGGGATTTCATGCTTGTCCCCTAAGATTGACCCCTCTAAAAGTTAGTGCCCCTTCCAGTGTAAACCCCTGTTATCGCTACTTCTCCGAAACCGTAAAGCGCAGAGATACAAAACCTTCAACAATGTCTACGACTAATTTAGTACACTCTTGAATCTATTCATTGCAAAAGGATTCGTCAACCATTTTAAGTAGTTATTGCCCCTTACAGATTCTGATGTTTTCGAAGAACTAAAAACTTTTTAACGACAAGTCGTAAGGACTTGGGGACAATGCATGAGATCTTTTGACCTTTGACCTTGAAGATTAGGTCAAGGTCAAAGGTCAAGGTCATGGGGAAAATGTTAAAATTGCTTATATATGCTTTGGCGGGAATTGACCTTGACCTTTGACCTTCACATCTGACCTTGACCTTTGACCTTGACTTTAAAGTTAAATGATATATTCATTACCTTTACCTAGATTCAGCTTCAAGTTTTAAACTCAAGTTCATAAGGTTTTTTTTGTTGATTTTTGGGGGGGGTTTCTGACCTTGACCTTAGACCTTGATAAATGACCTTGACCTTTGACCCCAATTTGACCCAAAGGTCTCAATCAAGCTTAAGGTCGTTGAGGTATTTGCAACTCTTACTCTAACAAATGTTTAAATCCCCCCCCCCACCTTTTTCTTAAAAAAAAAACCAACAGCAGCATAGAGAACATGTCTACAAGTCAAAAGTCACGATATATCGACATTAGATTCGGAGAAAAAGCAAGAAGAGACCTTAAAGAAAGTGTCCTGAGAGTTTTAAGGTGAGTCTCTAAAATATTATAAAATTCTAGTGAAAATCGGCAAAATCTGCATTTTTTTTCTGTCTGAAATTTAGTTATTGCTGAGCATAAAAATTAATTAAAGCCCGTATTGGCTATTTCTGCAATTGTTGTTAATATCATTCGATTCTCCTGCTCTATTACGACATTTTAATGCCAAGTATTCTTGCGTTCTTTAGTGTATGGAATTTATTTCAATTTTATTTGGATTTAATATTAATGGAATGAATCTTGATTTCATTTGAAATTTGATTTTTTTTTTTCCCTAGAATAACACAATCCCAAGAAATAGCGACTTTCAACATAGTAAAAAGAAATACACGTTTCTTCCTTGTGTTTCCCATCTAGAATTACATGTTTAGAATTTTATTTATGCTACTTACAATGAATTTCATGCATATTTTGGCCAGGAATGTTAAAATCCGAACCCGATCCTCTGTTTTCCTTTTTCCATAATTACAAACTGCCTTGCATCTCTCGCTCATCTTTCTCACATGCTCTTAAATAATTTATCGCCATCCATTTCAAACATAAAACAACTCAAATCGGATATTTTCAAACATCTCTTTAATACATGTCTAATGCACATATGATGCAGGTACACATGGGACATTTCACAACGTTTTCACTTACGCCTCCGTCTTGATGCGCAGATCAAATGCATGTTATTCATATTAATAGGTATATCATAATTTTAATCAGACCTTACCCCTTACATCTTAACTCGAAAACAATCTCATTCAAGCTCATATATACACCTAGGAGCGTGTTACAATGTTTTTTATGTGCTCTCTTTGCGTGATCAATGATTTCGTGCTTATCCCCGAGTCGACTACAAACAATCTAGGAAGTCTGTTTACGGTAAAATTATACCAACTGCGAGCCCGATCTAAAATCCTAGTAGAGAAATGAGAATTTTGCTGTTTTATTTATTTTCTTGCTTTTTTCCTACTTTTTTCAGCCCAAATGATATTGAAACACTTAAAAAGGTGGAAAGACGTCTTATTGTTCTCTGAACAATTAGTTTACTAGTTTTAATTATTATTTAACAAACATGCCTAAAAATTTTCACCTTTGTTAAATACAAACATAACTTGAAACTTTTGATTTTGAAATTTATTTTAAAAAATACGTTGATTAGAAATTCTACTAAAGTCTATTTTCAGTGTATGGTCTTAGAGCCTGGAGCAGGGCATTCACATCACCTTTCATTTTCCCCTCTCTATAACTGAATGAGCCGTTTTTAAATTTGATTATTTTATTATCAGCCAGATCGATCGAACCTGGGAGTATATTGTTTTTGTCCTGTCTGTTTGCTGTCATCTTTAACCTTCGCTAAAGCTTTTGGCCCATGACAAATAGAAACTTCACATTTGTTGCACATACTCTACTAATTAAGTTCTTTCAAATGACACAAAGTCAATGACACTGTGACCTTGACTGTGACCTATGTATCTTTGTTAAAAATATCTCCTTTTTTCTCGAAATTTTGCAATAACTTTTGAGCTATTGGAGAAAGAGACTATATTTTTAATGCCTACTCATCTAATAAAGTTCTTTCAAATGACATCAAGGTCAATGACCTTGTGACGTTGACTGTGACCTATATCCTAAAAATAGCTTTTTCGAACATTGTTGCTCTTTTACAAACACGCTGCGTTCACTCTATTTTAGCTGCAATCGCATACTTTTAATTTTGTAGATAACTACATATGTTTAATTGAAAAAAGAAAACTCGATTAAAGGTTAACTACGTTTAATCCAAAAAATCAATATGTGAATGAAATAAAATTTGTCCCACACTTTTCTTTTTTCAAAACCACTGAAAACACATCCTTTTGACCATTTCTTTTGCTTTGTCTGCCGGTTCCTGAAAAGTAATATATTCTTCTATAAATAAAAAACAATAAATTAATGTAGGTTATATCAGTGAAAATATACATTAATATATTGTTAAATTACATTCTCTGTATTCTAAATACATATGTAGTACCTTTAGTCTACTTAATAGTGTTCTCTCTTCACTTGCATCTTTGTTTTGTTCTCTTTTCACCACACTCTAAATAGAGAAGTTATACAGTTTGAATTCTATAGTTAAATGAATATAAATGAACTACCAGTCTGGATGCCTAAAAAGTAAGAATTTTTTTTATTTTATTTTATTCTACATAATTACCGGCCGCCAGGAGGCGGTCGGTTATATGATATGAAAGTTTTAAGTCGCCGTGCGTTTCTGCGGAGTTAGAACAATTTTAATAAAAAAATATTTAACATCCATGTAATAGAATATTAAAAAAGAGAATTTAAATGTAAAATAAAAACGCATAATATTCATAAAATCAAAATTTTACGAATAATGGGTTAATTGTTTCATCCAATCCTGACTGAAGCACACGTGTGGGGCATAGTTTAAAGCATGGACCGCGTTATATACATGTCTAAACAAATTTTAATTTCTCTTTTTCAACAGGATTTGTTGTATATATAATTTAAAATGACGTATAAATATAAATAAACATGTACTTTTAATACGGAAAATTTTCAAAAATATGACTTAATCTTAATTTATTATCAATCAGAATATAAGGAGATTTTTCTCCAACAGACAAGAATAAAGCGCGTTTTACAGCATGCCAAGCCTTTTCCCGCCACATCTCACACCAAAACATATAGTGGCGGATCTAGAGAGAGATGGAGGTTTCAACATCCTCTAAGCGAGCGAGGAGCTCCAAACAGTTGTTATGTTTTATTTTATGCTAAACTATCTCTAGTTAGATAAGTTTAAACTTTATTTTCATGGTTTTAAGTGTTAAAACTTACTGAGTGCGGGGACGCAGAGGGCTTTGAGTAATTAAGTTGCTTAAATACCTATATTATGTACTGAAGAAAACCCTGGGGTGTCGCATTCCAATGTTTAATGTCACAGCGATAAATATTAATTATCAGATAAATATAAAAATTCAGTTTCTAATTTATTACATGAAAGAATTAATCAATTGGTTTGCGGCCGATTTTTGACGCTTGCGTCAATATCTTTCTTGTTATAATTTGTAAAGAGGTTAACAATCAACGATAAACAAATAAATAAGACTACCTGATTATCAGCTATAGCAATGTCAACAATAACACTTAGGTATGTACTTACCAATAGCTCATTGTGGACAGTCTTTAGTAATTCTGCATGTCTTTTTTTAGCGTCGAATCTTTCCTACAAAGAAAAAAAAAACAAGTAAAACTGTTTCCTATTATTTCTGAAAACTATAGCATCTTGCATAAATCTGCTATATGTGAAAGATCCGTTGTTTTCTTACCAGTAATCGTTTATACGCTGTCTTGATGAGATTATTCGCCTCTCTTTTTGTCGCAATCTTCTTCTGCAAAGAAAAACAACACGACTTCATATAGATATTTAATAATCTATAATTCTCTGCTTTTCTTTTTTGTATACTTTGTACATTTGTCTGTTTGGGTCTAATTTCTTACCATACGTATCTCATGGTTGAGCTTTAATATTTTCTGGTGATCTCGCTTTCTTTGCTTAGCATCGAAGATGTTCTGTAATAATTAACACAAATGGTACATAATTCTAATTAAACAGCGGGTTGTTTTTAAAAAGTTTATGTGTTTATCACGTACTGATCACATTTATAAAATATTCTATATGCTTACCAACAATTCCCCATGAACCTGGCTCAACAACAGCCTGTGTCGCTTTTTGTCTTCAATTTCCCTCTGCAATGAACATCAACATATTTTGTTAAATGTTAATGAAACAGGAGAGTATTTTTCACTGACCAAAAAAAAATTTATAAAAAAATAGAAATAAAAAAGATAAAATAAATAATTAAATAAATCTTACCATTCTTTTCTCGTGGTTTCTCCTCAATATTTTTTGCGGGTCCCGTTTTTTTCCATCGATCTTTGTCTGCAAACAAATAAAAATTTTTTAGCATCCCAGTGAAAACACAACATTAAAAATTGTAGTGACAATAAGTTTTCTTTTTTGATTTAGAACTTTCAACGTAATCAACACTTTACTTTGCGATATTATGCAATCATGTTTATTAAGGTATTTCAAAATATGTTGAGATTACTGTGCATCAAATCAAAATACCTCTTGCTTTGATTTTCCTTCTTCTTCCACTACATCAGCCCAGTTGTATGTAAATTTTAATATGTTCATCTTTTCGTCCTGAAAAAAATAACTATGATATTACACATATAAAGTACATAAAGTCGGGGAGGGGGGGGGGGGTAATGTCAATGTTAATTCAACAAAGAATCTTACCACACTCTTCACCGCCTCCTCTCCAAAATCCAGCACTTCCTCGAAATCAATTTTAAACGCCATTCTGAAATCTGCAAGGAAAGTGATAATTCGTAAGTATATATTGTTATATCCATAATAAACACCATTATATATAATAAAAAACGGACATGAAACGATTTTTAATACACATTGATGAGAATCTCTGCGATTTTTTTCTTGTATGTTTAAACGCTGTATATTAATCTTCTTTATACCCCCCCCCCCCTCACCCTTTTGCAGAATTATTTAATGGATAAATATGTTTGTATATCCAGTCGACGCAGATTTAAGGATGAAGTATTTTTAAGCATTTGGGTTTTGGTATCTTTGTGCTACTCAGTTTAAGACCTTACGTTGTTAATATTTTGCACCTTTTATATACACATTAGAGAATTGTACTGGAAACACTAATAAATAGCCAGCATTACTAGCAGGACCTCCTTTACCGACCCCACCCCACAAAAAAGTATACACCAGTAACCATAAGCAATCCAGTTCGTAAATTTACTGCATACTTCAAATTTGCAATACTCACACTGTACACCTTTCTTTTGTTTTGGTTGCAAAGCAAATGCTATATTGTGATGTCATTAGGTCATCGTCAAAGACCTCTGAGACGTCACATTATTATGACGTCACGATAAATATAATAGCATTATAGGCCTACATAAATTAATATAGAAACATAATTTTTAAGGAATTTATTTTTTTAAATTGTCTCATTATTTAGCGCTCAATTGCCTCAATTCGCCAGCATTTGTTCGTCTTTAAATTACGATTTTGAAAAGAGTAAATCAGTAGAAATTGAATTAGTTATGAACACTTACCTTCTCCTCTTGTTGCAAAGCAAATGTATTATGACGTCATGTCATTGAGTCGTCGTCAAAAACTTTTGTAGCGCCACCATGTCACTCATGACCTTGCGATGGTTTGAACCGGGGGGGGGGGGGGCTATAAAAGATTTTACATAGTTCATTGGTTTATTACCCAAGTGCAGAAAAAAAAAATATTTTTAAGGAATTTATGCATTATCACTATGTAATCAATAGAGCCCAACCGTAACACAATTTTGGAAGAGGCAGCCTTATTCAACATAACTATGTACTTTGTTAATTTATTCAATACTCAGGAACAGAGAAGAAGATTTTCAGAGAAATAATTCATTTTCACTATATATCTATATATGATATACACCAACGCACTTTTTTTTTTGCTTGTCAATTTTTTTCAGGTAGTTTATTATTTTTTGTCATACTTTTGAAAAATTGTTGTAAAGAAACTGTACTGAAATGTAGAACCTATGCAGAAAATATATATCATGTAAAAATGGTGAAAAAGAAAAATTTGACACTCAGTTGAACAGGTGAAACCAACTTTTTTTGTGATTTTTTTCTCTCTCTCTTATATGTATGTAAATCCACACAATTCTGTCACAAAGATTATGAATGTTTTGTATGAAATGAATTGTGTTTGAAAAATAAAATAGAAAATATAGAATTTTTCTACTGTTTTTCTGAGCGGTCAGATAAATCGCTGCTTGACTATAGGAGCGAGATGTTGGACCTGTCGATGAGATATTGCACCGCTTATGTCACAGTGTGGGCAAAGTCAACTGCCAGAATTGACCAAGTTTAAACTGCGGTGCAGGTTAACAAAATTTCATCATGATAAAATCATAATAAACAGTACCACGTAAAAGTTATACGTGTTACAAATTATTCATCGAATGTGTTCTCGGACAAAAATGCGTTTCGTCGACCCCTCTAACAAAACTATTTGCCTTTGGCCTTACAGCCTCGGGCAAACAGTTTGGTTCTTTGGTCAGACAAACTGTATTTTGCCCTCGAATCCTGTCTATGAATGTATAGTACTGATTGTCCCCATTCAAAAAACTTCGTGTCTGTAAAAGAATATTTCATCTACATGTTTTCATTATACATGTATGTCAAAGAACCACGAACGATAGTATTGTTCTCCCGCCTACCTCTAAGTCAATTTTCAAAAGTTAACATATTAGAATGATTTTCAAAATTTTTATAGATAATTATATAAATTTTCATAAAACGTTACTTATTTGGGATATCAAAGAGAGATAAATCTATAATTTTGGCAAAACTTGTGTTTTTTACTATAGAAATCAACGGAAAACGGAAAATATTTTAAAAACATCTTTCCCCCCCATGAAACAAAACTTCCTTTTTACAGGTAATATAGACTGTCATTTTACAAATTTATGCC